GATGAATAGATGGATGGATGGTTAGATGGACGGTTGGATGAGTGGGTGGATGGATGGATGGATGGATGGACAGTTGGATGAGTGGGTGGATGGATGGCAGGCAGACAGCGGCAGGCTCTGGACAGTGGTGTATTCCCCAGAGAGGACAGGACCGCCTCTTGGGCAGACTCTTTAGCCCCAGGCAGGCTGGCTTGTGACTGGTGCTTGTCCTCCGGGGCTGCAGCCTTTGGGGACCGGCCCTGGAATCCTCGCAGTGTTTGCAGAGTCCTCTCTTCCTGCTTCAGTGCCTTGAGCTCCCCCACCCCCTAGGAAACGCCGAGCTCCCTGCTTAGCTTTTGTCTCCTCAGCTGCTGTGTTTGTGTCGGTCACCAGGCAGACGCCTCAAGTCCTGGCTGCCTGGGTCGTTCTGGACCCCAGTTTTTACCTCCCCAGAACTGTGGGGTTTCCACAGGCCTGTCCGGCCTCTGTTCCCCCTGCTCCCAGCGGGTCCAGGGCTGGGGACAAACCACCAAGGACGAACCACCTGCCTTGGTGCCATCCTGGTCCTGGAACTGAGTAACACGAGTGAGACGGAACTCTGTAGTATTTTCTGATCAGTCCCCCCGCCGTCTAAGGCAGAAAACAAAGTAACCTTTTGTTCTCAAAATACTATTTTCTTGACCGTGGTGGATCTGTTGGGCTCTCAAAGCTTAGTGTTTTTTTTTTTTTTAAAAGGCAACATTTAAAAAAAATACCCAGAAGTAGTGGTGATGCGGGGCCGTCAGCCGGACAGACACCTGTCAGTGGGATGTGCGATGGCTGGGTGGTTGGATGGATGGATGGACGGGGTGTGCGGGCGTCGGAAGGCAGGCTGTCCTGGTTCAAGGCCTCTGGCTCCCCGGTGGCGGACGGGGGCCAGGCAGGGTGGTCTCTGCCCCTCTCTGGGGCGAGGACGTCGTTGGCAGGGCTGTGCTGGAGGTGGGAAGTGTTACCCAGAGCACGCGGCCCAGCCTGGGGCACAGAGGGAGGTCAGGCGCCCCCAGCCTGCAGCCGCTGTGCCAGCACTTTATGCGAAGTGTGTCTTTCCTTTGGGGGCCCGGTGGCTGGTTTGCACAGGGGCCGTGCCCTTCCCGGAGTGAAGGCGGCCGGACTCATCAGTGGCACCTGCGTCAGGGTAACTGGGGCCCACGGTGGCACTTGTCACTTTTTGCAGCAGAGAGCTTCCACAGGGACCCCGTTCCTCACAGCCCACCCTGTGTCTCGCCCCAGAACCACGAGGCTGCCCTGAGATTCTCGGTCACTCCGTGGGGATGTCAGAGAGCCCGGCTGGACCCACGCCTGCGGTGCTCCGGGCCGACGTGCCCACGGCGCCCTCCTTGCAGCGGGCCTTCATGTCCTCCTGCACGGTGTCCGGCAGCAGCCCCGGCCAGCGGAGGGAGAGGTGAGTGGGCCTTGGAAGCCAGCACAGCTGCCCCTGCCGACGCCGAGCGCCAGCGCCGTGGCGGGGAGGCGGGTGGCCCCCACATGACACCACCATCAGTCTTCAAAGGGGCCGTCAAGGTACGGTCTCCTGGGAGGGCCCTCTGGCAGTCAGCAGGCGGGGTGCCCACAGGGGGGCCCTGCCCTGAGAGTCCGGGGACAGTGCCAGCTAGCAGCTGGGCGTCCGGAGGGCGTGGTCTGAGCTGAGGCTGGAGAGGGGTGCGGAGGCCAAGCCAGGGCTCCGTCTGGGACGCGGAGGCCAGGCCGGGAGGGAGCCCACCTGCCCGGGGCTGCAGAGCGTGGAGGCCTGCTTTCCCCGGGGACGTGGAATTTGTGCTGGGGTGCGGGAACACCCCCGCCGTGGGATCCAGGGAACAGGAAGGAGGGGCCACGGACAGAGGAACGTCCTGTTTCCGCTTCTGGAAGGACTGCCGTTGAGCAAATTCAGATGCTCCGGGTGGGACCCACTTCTTCGTGTTTCCCTTGTGTGTGGGGGCCCGGGGCTCAGCCCTAACCCCCCTTCGTCCCTCCCCCTTTCTCTTTCCAGAAAGGGGGGCTCCTGTCAGGACTTGGCATCACGCACAGAGCACGCGTGTGTCTGCTAGTGAAACATTTCTGTGTTTCTAAAAGCAAGGGGATTTCTGAGGTGCTTAATGCCGGCGTTTCCGATTTCCGACGTGGAAATCTCCTGTTCTTTCTGGTACCCCTTCGTCAGCTGGGTGTCCAGCAAGCACGTGCTGGAAACTGACTGTGCAGGCACCTCTGTCGGCATCGGGGTGGGGAGCGGGAAGGGGGGGTTGAAGCAGACACGCGGTCGATGCCCGTGTGATGGGACCAGAGGGAGTTCCCGCGCACGTGGACGCAGTGCAGCTTTGTCTTGAAGAAGACAAGGGTCTGCCAGGTGAGGGCTGAGGGAGGCGGAGGCAGGGCAGGTGTGGAGCCGGGCAGGGCCGCCCGGGGTCCCCGAGGCTGCACACTGCGCCTCTGGGGTGGAGGGTCTAGTGGGGACCGGAAGGCGGGCCTGAACCCTGACACTGC